TTAAACACTTCTAACTTTCCTTTCTTTCTTTCTTTCTTTTTCTCACTGAACCCAAGTGGCGTCTCTGATATGTGAGTTGTTTATCAAAACTCAATAGTCTATTATTTATGAGGTATTGGCAGGAGACATTAAGCGCTTTTATTTTCCCTTCTTTCTTTTTCTTTCCTTTTTGTTTGTTTGTTTCTTTCTTTCATTTTCTCATTGACGCAAGTAGTGTGTTTTCCCCTCTTTCCACCTGATCAAAACAGAATAGTTCATTATTTATGAGATATTGGCTGGGCATAACGGCCGTGCGAAATAACCAATAAGGGGACAAGCATAAATATAATAGGATTGATAAAAAATAATGAAAGAAAGAAAAAACAAAAGAATTTCTATTAAATAAAAGAATATATTATAATTGCCATTTTTCGTACATGCTTGGAGGTCGATGAGGAATCAAGAATTCTATGAAGTGGCCGATTATCCAAAAAAGTTTGAAGACTCCTGGGTTAGATCATTACTTTTGGGTCGATGCGATCTTCGTTAATTCTTGAATCAAAGATGAACTGTTATTATTAATCGTTGGACTATCCATCTGTGTTTTTTTAAATCATTTCATCCCAAGCAAGGCGATAAATCCACTAAGACGAATGTGGTCAATGAGTGTGAAGGGAACGGAGAAAACTTTATTGAGGAGAAAGAACAAAAAAATAAGTGGTTTAAAGACGACAAAAGTTGACGATGGACATTGCATTTAACTATATGAAGATTGTAGTTAACAGGAAAACAAAGAGTCGCAAGAGAGTTTCGCATATAAGAAGTGCAAAAGGGGCACCTCAAGGCAGTGTAATGGTTAGCAAGCTTGTCTCGCTAGAACCATTAAGACTGAGTAGTAAGTTCGATCCTCTCTGGGTGTCCCATACGTTCGGCTTTCTGCCACAATCTAAGCTAGGCTTAGAAAGTCAGTATAAGAAGTGCAAGAGAAGAAACCATTAGAGAAGAACTTACGGTGCCATCTAGCAATGCTGGGACCTAACTGCCAATCTAGTACTTCGCGTAAATTCGTGAAGTCAAGGTACAAAAGAGGAAACCTCACCAGAACAATTATCCTGAAAGTATTTATAAAAAAGGCAAACTTATTTTGCTGTTTGAAAGTTATATTTTGACCGGTGTGCTTTCCAGAGTTCCGTGTGTTGTAAAAAATATTCTAACCATGAGACCCGGGTTCAAATCTCATCATGGTCGATTTGTCAGGAAGGAGACTTTCTGATGTTATCCGTGTGCGGCACTTTTGGAAAGTGCCTGAAAAAACATACCACGGGCTAACCGAAGAGTAGTGAGATTGAATGAAATATTCACTCTCTTATCCTGCTCCTGAGTTTGCAAATCTTATATATTCACTCGACGGGCTCAGCTGTTTTTTTTTTTTTGATAGTTTCACCCCATGTAAGGCGATAATGTCATTGAAATGTAAGTGGTTAATGAGAGTTGGAAAAAATCTTAGTGAGGAGAAAGGACAATAAAAGAACAGGTTTCAGTTAGACCGAAGATGTCAAGTTGCATTTAAACATTTGAAGATCGTAGGTGACAGGAAAACAAGAAGCCGGAAGAAAGTTTCACAAGCGAAAAGTGCGATAAAAACTATTGGAATAGAACTTATAGTTACACCTAACTATTTCAAAAGTAAAATGATGAGGCCTAGTTGTCAGTCTAGCACTACGTCTGAATTCATGCGATCGAGATAACAAGGAGGGAAGCCATAAAAATATTTATAGAAAAAAGAAAACACAGAGAGGTCAGGTCACAGCGATGAAACAGTGACTGAAAACGAGATGTCAGGTCAGGATAGATGACATGACCGACCCTTTGCATTTTATCAAGAATTTCCTGATATAGAGCAGGGGGTATCAGACCGTATGTGGCAGCAATATTCAAGGCACTGACGAATGGTAGATCTACTAACGCGCAAGATGGATTCTGGCGATAGAAATCATCTGGCACGGCGAACCAACCTTCCGAGCAGCCGATCTAGCAATTGATTCAAAATATGTCTATATTTCTGAGATGAGGTATTATGTACACTATTTACATTATTCGGACTATTGTCTTCATCTTTGTCGCCATATTTATTACAACGTTTCGGCCGTTGTACGCTCCAGCATTCTTCAGCGATAATAACAACAAAAAATTACAATATCAGCTCTGGTATAAACATACAATAACAGCAAAAATTGCAATATGAGCATTGGTAAAAACATGATGTGATAACAGCAAAAATTGCAATATGAGGACTGGGAAAAAATGGTTGCTGAAGACATTAGATTTATAATACCCAGAAATTCATCCTCAAGGACACATGGCACAGTGGATAAAGGCGTTGGTTAGATCCAGTGAGAGGACCCAAAGAGCAGTGGAGAACTTGAAGAGAGGAAAACAGGAGATAACTGACATCCGTTAAACATGGCGCGTGGAACTAGAACAGTCTGCCCCAGTGAGTGAAATAAAGGGTCCAGTTCGACATTTCAACCCCCTGAAGAAGGCCGGGGCGTACAACGGCCGAAACGTTGTAATAAATATGGCGACAAAGATGAAGACAATAGTCCGAATAATGTAAATAGTGATTCAATATAATCCTCCCCCTTCATGTCAGTGGAAAACATCAGACCGAGAAGTCGCAAATAGTTGCTCTCCTGGAGGTCGGCATTAGATGTGCTGGTGGAATACAAAAATCGTTCTCTAAGATGTTTAAAAGTTAGCTGACTGGAGTTAATTTTGGAGATCAGCTGACATTTTTATTTTATCAGATCTATCAGCGTTATTTTAGTTGTGGTATAATTATTTCACTCTACAGAAGGATGCTGAGGATACCATGGACTGAACATGTGAGCAAAATCTTTAGAAAAATGTAAGCAAAAAAGAAGCTTATACTTAATATCAGTAAGAGACAGTTGAACTTTCTTGAGCAATGAGGAAAGAGGGCTTGGAAAATCTGATACTCACAGGACAGATTGAATGCAAAAGAGACAGAGGAAAACAACGCATATCATACTTAGTGGATTTGAGTAAATGGATAGGGGAACAATATTTAAGAGAAATAATAGAATACCAACATTTATTAAGAGTTACAAAGGGCAGGAAGTTGTGGAGAACCATGATCGCCAACGTTCTGAAGAGGATATAGCGCATAAAAAAGAATATTGTTAACATTCCATTAAATATTCAGACTGGTATCTTTATCTTTGTTATATTGATCTCAAACCACATTGCCTAATTATTGAATATAGTAAAAAGACAAGAAAGGTTGGAGAGTATCTCGGTCGAAACGTTCTGATGTAAACTATTTATTCGAAACAAAAATTGGTAACCTCTATTAAGTAAATTCCGAAGACAGTATTTACATATTTGTACATAGATTTATATAGTATTTACATATTTGTACATAGATTTATATAGTATTTACATATTTGTACATAGATTTATATAGTATTTACATATTTGTACATAGATTTCTATAGTATTTACATATTTGTACATAGATTTATATAGTTGCATATGCATCTTGTTTCAGTATCTTCCACCATCTTTGATTCAGCTTTATCATTCTATCTTCCCAGAACTTTCTGGGTGATGAATTGGACTGGGTGGTTTTTGCATGCTTTCTTGGAATTGATGTTCTTGCCATTAAAATAATTTTTATATGGATGGAAATAATTAATAATCTGAATAAACAAACTGAGGCTGGTACGTTGCGTGTAGTAAGACGTCCCAGCCAAGTTGTATTAATTTCTACCGGGTATGCATGAGACGTGAGGGATGGCAATGTCCCAATTGGCGATTAACGGACGCTTTTCTTCGATTGCTGTCTTTAATCGGTTTAATTGGTAACAGTACATGCCTGAATTCAACGGCTTGCGAGTGGAGCTCGTAATGTACAAAGTACTGTGTACCTAGTAAGGTACACACCACCACACCTCTCGGATTCGCACCGGTCTTTAGAGTGGTTAACGATGTGTAATTTCGTTTTACCTAGAAGTTTTATATCCCACATTGTTGTAAACAATCCATTTTCATCGCCTATAATCGTTATTTTAAAAAAGACGTCGTATTTGTTAGGCTATATCGCAGTTAGAAATGCGATCAATTAAATTTTATTCACACCTATTCAAATATTTTCAAATGATTTAAAACACTCACATGAAATATGCAGAGTATCTCTGTGATGTCCCGTGTCGCGTGATCTGGATTATTTTAATGATGACAAAAGTGAAACAGTTTGCTCATCATAAACAACTGCAGGACTATAAGAACACTTTCGGTCTTCCAGATCAAAATCTTCACTTCTGAATCTAGTGAATAACTTATAAACCTTCATTTGTACCATCTCCATAAACGGTACATAGTTTTTTTGTCGTTTGTATTTTTGGAAATTAAAGAACATCAATTTTTCTCTTTTAATGTTTAAGCTCTTAAATTTAACACAGGAAAAGTTTAGAAAGAAGCGTTCAAATGTCCTCTTTCAGCCATGCCAAAAAATCTCAGCCACGTGTGAACGAAATCACGTGTCAAACGCCACCTATTGAAAAACATACGAACCTTTATTCCGGAAAGGTACATTGAATAAAAAAACGGAATAGTCCATTATTTATGAGGTATTGGCAGGAGGTATTAAACACTTCTATTTTCCCTTTTTTCCATTGAATAATAATAATAATAATAATAAAAGAAAAACGGTATATTGTAAATTCTTACACATGACATCCCAACCACAAATGAGGTGAAAATATATATGTTGATTACTTACCTAAGACCGAAACATGCTTTGATGTGGAAGGCATGTCGCCGCTTATGACGGAGAGTAACACGGCCAATGATAGCAAGACGGTGATTGAGTAAGTGACCTTCTCTCCGGCGTCAAGTGGAATAAGAAAGCTAATGACACATAGAATTGAAATAAGGACCAAAGGGACAATGATATTTAGGATGTAATAAAGAGACCTCCTTTTCAACACAAGGCCGAAATGAAGCTGCGTGTACTGCAAATCCGTCCCAACCTTTTGTGGATACGCAAAAGTTCCGATGATGTCCCATTCTCCGTTTCCCTTATAGGGGCCAAGTTCGATTCCCTTAGCTACCGTCGTAAAGTTGATCTCCTTGTTGGTATAGCTCCATTCCCCGAAGTCGAGGGTGCATCGCTGCGTGTCGAAAGGGTAGAATGTGACGTCAATATCGCAGTAGGTCTGGAAATTGATAGACACATCCCACTGCACTGTACCCGAGTATTCAAGTCGGACAATGTCTTCGCGTCTACTGTCGCCAATTGGTTTGACATCACCGGCTCTGGGAACGATAAAAGGGGAGAAAATAACGAGTGGTGTAAAGAAACATTGAATTCATTTAGGAAAAATTATCAGAACAGTATCGTTTTGTGTTTTTGTGTTATATTACAAAGACTTGACACACAGAACTTAGAAACGAAATATCAAAAACCAGAAGGTTTGATATAATATTTGAACTTTGTAATATTGCTTCTGGCGGTATTATCTTGGATTCTACTTTTTTAAGCATTTCACCCTAAGCAAGGCGGGAGTACCACTAGCACGCAAGGAGTTACAGAGGATTGAGAGCAAGAGTAAAGAGGAGTGTTTAAGGAAATGCTGAAACTTGACTAATGCATGGAATAATAATGCAACACAAAATGTACTTAGAACAAAATGTATTGAAACAAGAAAGTGTACACAATATTTACATATAGTCTTTTGTATATTCTTGGTAAGACCGTTCCTGGAGAATGTGTTGACTGAGTCGCAGTCGGGCAGAGTCTCTGGTTGAATCTCTTGATTCCTCCCTCTCTTCCCGGTACCAACCATATTTATATGGTCGGTACTCCACTATGCAAATTAGGTGGATCCTACCACAACAGTAAAGGATATAGAGAAGGACGGGGATTAAGATCAAGGTATCAGTAAATGTCAGTTGACATCACATTTGAATATATGAAGATTATAGCTATCAGGGAAGCAAGTAAGAGGAAGGGAGTTTCTCTGTTGGGAAGTGCGACATAATAAGCTATTGGAGTAGAAGAGACGGCTACATTTAATCTTTCCGACAGTGAAAGGTTAGGACCGATATGACAACCTAGTAGCACGCTTAAATTCAAGCAGTTTGGGCACCAGTGAAAGTAACTCGTCAGAGTAGTTGCCATGAAAATATTTATAGATAGAGGGAAGTCATTGTTAGAAAGTGATAGTAGGTGAGATGCCAGATCAGGACCTATCATATTGATTCGAAACTTCTTTAATTTTAAAGGGGTCACCATCTTATCCATAGAAAATTATTAAAATTTCTTAGTTGTAGTATTGTTAAATGTTATTCATTTTTACTAGTATTTCTTTAATCTTATTTCTACAGCTTTTAATTATAACCCTCAGAACATAATTATAATTTAGAATAAGCTTATAATGATAATAGTGCGTGTCAGTAGGAGGTTGTATGAGAATCCGGAGGAACGAGAATTACCCTTGGGAAAGATATGAACCCATTTATTCTGCACTCCAACAGACTGTGCTTTATAGCCTTGGTTGGCAACCAGTATAGGAGAAACGAAAATTATCCTGTGGAAAGATATGAACCCATTTATTCTGCACTCCAACAGACTGTGCCCTACAGCCTTGGTTGGCAACCAGTATAGAAGAAGAACAACTGAGGTCAAACCAGCCTGGAGATGATAGGGTTCTGTGAGTCCATTTTGTTACGGTTGCATTGCATGTGCCCCTACAGCACTAACGGGTTACGAGACTTGTGGTAGGATGATGAGTAATATACGAAGAAAATTGGAGATAATGAGACAATGTGTAAAATTTATTCGGTAACACATTTTGCCTCTTTTTATTAGGCGTCTTCAGGATGGAATGAGAGACAAACTCCTGTAGGTGGAAAGCGTATTGGAAGATGGAATGAAGACCATTATCGGATGCTTTACTTCATATTGAAGCCCTTAACGTCTACTGAATTTTAAATCAGCCGCTCTGAGTAAATCTTTCTTTTGCCTATTAGTTCGGATACCGGGGAATAGAGAAAAACAACAAAATAATCAGAGATCTAAACGGAGGGGCTAATTTCAAATCCTGCGGAATGTTAAATGCTTCACTTTTCTCACGCACGGATTTGTTTCTCATTTTCAACTGAAGATGCCTACTATAAACAGTCGAAACGCGTAGCGGAGTATCTTTTCTCTCAATATTACTAGCTGATGTAGACAAAAAAATTTACGCCATCTCAAGCATTTAGAAAAAAATGGGAAATATATCTGAATCAGCCCAAGGGATTAATAGGAGTCGACCGTAGTCGGGATCATCGAGTCAATACGAACGATCCTTTTCTTAGTTGCATAGTATGTGCGTTGCCAAGGCTACATACAGTTTTGAAGCCAGAGTTATTTTTGTCCTTGGCCAGTTTCCATTCAAGAACCCAGTTTGTCTTAATATTTACTCATCGCTAGGGTTGGGGTTGGGGGTGAATTTGGATTCATATCCTTCCCGAGAGTACGTAAATGTAATGAACGCGATTGGAATTCGAACTCAGCTTTCCGATTACTGAATTCGAGTTGCAACCCATGTCTCCTTAACTGCTTATTATTTATGGGTTAATCGACAAGGTAAGTATCGTTGTCAAGCAGACAGCGCTACGATAAGAGATATGAGATAAAATCCCACCTCCATTTCTATCCAGGCTGCTTACCGAAGACAATGAAAATTAAATAAAACAAAGATGAATAAAAACATTGAAATGTAAATAAATACAGAAAACAAAATTTTTCCGATCAATTTGTTCCTCTTTGTTTTTTTGTGTATTTATCTCTCTCAGTCTTTTCATATCAACCTAACGTTGTTCTCATTTATAAGGTAAAGTGGCAAAACACAAACAAAATGTTCTTTAAGATATTTTTTATTTATTCTGTACTTAAAAACTATCCATTTCATACATTCGAAAACTAACTTTACATGAAGATTAAATAGATTTGAAATCAAGATTTGAAATGAATCAAGCAAAAGATTTTAAAAATTTTTTATCATTTTGTTTCTTTTCACAATGAAAATTTTGAAAAAACAAAAAAATCCATAAAAGATTTTAAAAAAGAATTGTCGACGTTTTCGGTTTTAATTTATATTAAAATACAAATTCAGTTCAATATGACGAAAACGATGGACATAAAACAAATCTAAGACTTTTAACTGTTTTTAAAAAGAAGTTTTCATGTCGGATTTTATCCATTTACACTTGTTTATATATATATATATATATATATATATATATATATATATATATATATAAAAAAAGACACCCTATTTAAACTAACTACTACAGAGGGCTCTTGATTGGGCCTTCGTCTTATTGAGGAGTTTGAGAGTCCCTAAGTCTTTGTATATTTTCAGCATTGGGCGATTTCTTAGCTGCCGTTTGATCTGGGTTTTCATTTGCACAGGACTTTCTTTTCCTAGCTGCAGCCTTGGCTCTTTTGATTACAATCTGGTCCTCTGTCCGTGGAGATGTCTTTTTGCGAGACACTGCCGTATGAGGCAACAATAAACTACAGAACAGCTCGAACTTGATCGCTGCATTGAAGTATTGCATTAATGTTTAAGCTTACCTTTTAAAACTTCGTTATTAATTCTTCTGCGGGCACTTAATTTAAAGACAATTTGATCTGCGTAGGTCCTTATTTTCCGTATAAACAATTATTTTTATTTCATGGGTGACTTTCGCAATTAATTTCGATTATTACTAAATTTAATTGCAAGTTATAAAAATTGTTATCGTACAAAAATCGTCCCAAAAAATCACGTAAAAATATCGCCGAAAACTATCGCAGTAATGAAAACTTGGGAATCAAAAATTTCTGTAACATGTAAAATTTCTGTATTGAAAGTAAGTGTTGTGTCCCTTTATTTAAAAAAAATGTGTGATACAATGACACACTGACATTCGCATTATATATACATACATACGTATATATATATATATATATATATATATATATATATATATATATATATATATATATATATATATATATATATATATATATATATATATATATATATATATATATATATATATATATATATAAAAATACTTTTTACTAGCATTGGAGGCGAGTTCCTGACACTAAAATGTCCATATAAACATATGTTCAAAAGGCCCTTGTTGTACACGGTAACTCATACCAAATGTTCAAAGTGTACTGCGCTTGCTTCTACATACGCATGCATCCGTCGGATCACTGACTGGCGGACCCTTTCAAATACTCTCACATGGTGTCGAATGGTTTCACAGGCCCCCATGACACATTGATGAAGCGTCACTGAATTATTATTGTCTCCTGCATAAACTAATTGCTTTAGGTGGCCCCGCAGATACAAATCCAAAGGAGAACGTGAAGGCCATGGAACCCGATCCTCCTTTACCTGTCCATCTTTCATGGTAGATGTCAGCCAGTGCATCGCGATCAATGTGAGTAAAATGTGCTGGAGCCCCATCATGCATGAACCAAATGCATCTTCGTATTAGCAGGGGTACAGCCTCTTCTGTGGGCCTACCAGAGGTCACCTACAATTCCATCCCGCACATTAATCCTAAACTGATGCTGGTGTCTAGCCTGTATTGTACCATGGGGATTCTGATCCGCCCATAATTGTCGGTTGTGTAAATTTGTTAATCTATCTCTTCCAAATGTTGCCTAATCTGGAAATAAGACTGAAGCGACAAACAACGGATCGGCAATTTGGGCAATCAAACCATCGGCAAAAGTTCTCCCGTGGTAAGTGATCTCAGGGCGAAAACGCTACTATAAGATGTACGACATGCTAAGGCAACTTGATGTATGCTGGTACCTGGATCGTCTCCGACAGCCTGTAGAATGTATTCTTCGTAATCAGGCGTAGGAGCGGATCTCGGTCTTCCTCGATCCACAGTTCTTGATTCCAGGGACCCTGTTTCAGCAACGCGATGATAAACAGCAGCAAAATTTGGATGACTCGTCTGCCTTCGGTCTGGTTACAGAAGCTGATACAGCCGTGCAACCTCGCGCCCATTACCATTCGTGTGGCCGTATGTAAAAATCATATCTGTCTTCTCCCGATCTCAATATCCTGCCATTGTTAAACGGAACAATTCTCAGTTAACTTACCACTACACACGTTAAACGCTTAAGATAGACGAGCCACAAATATACACGAATGACAAATTTAAGCTAGTCTATATGGCAACACAGAGCGATCTACCGTAAACTTTAAAGATTATAACTAAAAAAACGAAGGATTTACGGATATGTGTTTATATAAACTTTTGTCCTTGTTTTGATGTGCGGAATCCGCTCCCAAAGTTTGTAAAAGTATTTTGATACTCCCTATATATATATATATATATATATATATATATATATATATATATATATATATATATTTTGAAAAAGTCCTGTTAAACAACACCGACAAGTTCTCTATACCCATTTTTAAATTAAATTTTTTAGATTTAATTTAATGTTGTTTTATGTCAGAATTAAAATTGGTCATCTTTCTAAAGTTTAAAATTTGGTTTAATTTCAATCAAGTAATTCATAGCAATGAAGTAATTCTGTTAATTCTGTCATAAAATAACAAAGATGAAAGTTGTAAAAAATTAATAAAATTTAAATAGACCTTGTCAATGTTTTTAGACAGGACTTGTTTGAAAGAATTCTTTCGGCCTAAATACACCATGCATATATATATATATATATATATATATATATATATATATATATATATATATATATATAACGTGTGTCTGTGTGTGTTTATGCGTGTGTGCGCGCGTTTGTGTGCAAACTTCAACTTTTCTGGGTTAAATGGTCGTTGATATAAACATCAATCTGAATAGTGGCTCTCCCATGGGATCTTCCTTAGTTGTTGAAATCTGTCATGTTTTTGTTTTATACACATAGAAACTCCATCGCATGTCTAACCATCTTGGTACAGATTTCGAAAGGTATTAAATATTGAATTATCTTTCTTCTAGACTGGTTATCAACCATGGTTAGAGAGTACATTCTGCCACGCCAGTTAATTGAGAGTTGGCGTGGGAGAGAAGAGAGGAATTCAAAGGTATTTGAGCGGAAGTGAATGTAACAAATCCACACATACAGTGATATATATATATATATATATATATATATATATATATATATATGTGTGTGTGTGTGTGTGTGCGTGTGTGTGTGAGCGTTTGTGTGTGTGCACATTCAGTGCAATCTATTCGTAGAAGGAACTGATTTTTCATTTTTTCTATCTAATAATATTCTGTCTGTCTGTCTGTCTGTCTGTCTGTCTCTCTCTCTCTCTCTCTCTCTATATATATATATATATATATATATATATATTACCATCAAGCATCTTTCTTTCTTTATCCATTTCTATATTTGGCATTATTTGCATAGCCATCTATATCCTAATCTATTTTTCACCGACTTCATATCTATCTATCTATCTATCTATCTATCTATCTATCTATCTATCTATCTATCTATCTATTTTTAGGTTAGAGTAGCAGAAGTCAAAATAGATAGAAATATGAATAAGAAAAATGCGTTGCCCCAGTCTCTCAGTTGGATATAACAATATTGAAAATGGTTATTTATACTTGGGTCCAGACTCAGATAACCAACACCTCTCCCGACCTGATTTTGTCATTCTGTCAAACAATATCTATCTATCTATCTATCTATCTATCTATCTATCTATCTATCTATCTTCTTGGATATATGATATATTTTACAACATTGGCATTGATGTCCTGGACAGTCTTATTACCGTAAACACTTTCAAAGTCTTCTATATATTTATCTGTTCCGTTGTGTATATTGTGCAAGTGAACTCCTTCAGATCTACAGGTCCCGAAAGCGTGATTTAAATATCACATGATTATTTACGAAGTTGCAAAGGGATCCTTGCTAACTATTATTATTGGTGCATGCAAGCAACGTGTTTTGAATGGTAATGCGAAATTTGTGTATCATACCTACCTATAAAACTATCCACGTTTGTCAGGTGAAAAAAATACTCATCAGTCAATGCATCTATCTATCTATCTATCTATGTTCACATCAGACATCTTTTTTCCCATTTTTCTACCATTCTATGCATATACGTCTATATCCTAATCTATTTTTTCGGCCTGTTGATTTCTTTCTTTCTTTCTTTCTTTTCTTCGGTTAGATTAATACAGCTCAACGCCAAATAGATGGGAAGTACCTGCCTCGATTTGATTTTGTCTTTCTGTCAGGCAATATCTATCTATCTATCTATCTATCTATCTATCTATCTATCTATCTATCTATCTATCACGTTCTCTCTATCAATTGTTGCCGCTCTGCTTCTATATATATATATATATATATATATATATATTACTCGGTTTCTCTGTAGATATGCATTAAATGATTCATGATTTTCTAAATAGATGTCTTATATTTCCGTATATTTATATGCCTCATCATCTACTTTTGGTTTTTATATTCACACATCTATATTTGTCTATATATGTCTATAGCTGTTTTAACAAATGCTAGTTTTCGTATTTCATATTATTGATTCTCTCTTTTTTGACAAGATGCCTTTTTTTCATCGCGGTCTTCTTTTTTTATATCCATACTTACGCGTTGTCAATAATAATTTCTGGGCTCCAAAGGTGTTTTCTTTCCAGGAGAACAAAGGTTACATTATGATGTTGCATCGGATACCAGGTTAGTGCAGGGTCATTCCATTTCTGTAAGAACAAAAATAAAAATAAAAAAGTTACATGAAGTAAAACTTAAATAGAATGTCTACATCCTTATTTGTCCTGATATATATATATATATATATATATATATATATATATATATATATATATATATATTATAATGTATTTAGTTGTTATAGCTACACCCTTGTGAAAAATTAATTGAAACAAAACAAATAATTCCCTTATTTTTTACTTTTTTTTCGTATTTTCCAATAAAACATGCACATGTTAGTACTTCGTATGTCCATTCCACGAAGTCGTTCCTTGCAGATTGACCACAGATTCTCGATTGGATTTAAATCAGAAGAGTTTCCGGGTCAGTTTAATTTGCTCACTGATAAGACTTGCCAGTGTGTTCGTGCAGCGTTAAAATTTTCATACGCTGCCATGGAGTAATGTCCATCTCAGACAATAGCCGTAGGACAACTAATCGACAGTCAACACAATAGTGTCTGGGCATGATATAAATCTGATGGAATCGCGGATGACGCAATATTTTTCAAGGCCAAACAAATTTCATCATACACCCCGAAAATCAATTCCTGTTACTGTACACCACTGCAATTGACCTAATCTGAGGAAAAAATAGAAGTCGATTACACCCTGTCACTCCAGTGGGTCTGAAACTGACCGAATGGTGAAAGAAAGGAAACTAAAGCGGTTGTTTCAATTAAGTTGCATAAGGATGTAATTGAGTCTTCCTTTTTCTTCAGTTGGATTTCACGTGCTTTACTTTTAATATTTTATTTTGTTGTTCTTAGCAAATCTTCTCTAGATGACACTGTCAGTTGTTAGTTTGTTCTATTTATAAACATTATAGTATTTAAAGTTGTTGTAGCTTTATATTAGCCACAATTTTTCTTTTGGAAACGTATTGTTTTGACTAAGAAATTAGGATATTGGTTAATGAATAGGAAAATCATGAATTTTCATGTTAAGCTTGATCCGTTGACCGATCAAAGAGTCACAGTTTCCACTAAACCGTTATTTTTGATCTTCATCACCTTCTTTTATTTAAGTTTACTCGTAAAAGAAACACCCCAAATGAATTTTGTTTATATTCTTGTAGAACATTAGATTCAAAGAAAAAAAAACATATTACTATGTTAAAGTTTATATTTACATTTTATTCGTGTTTATTGATTATTTCAGTTTATTTAACATTCGAAAAAACAAAAACTTACAACAAAATATTTAATAAAGCGTAGCAATTTCCACTCAAGTCCTTTTCGGGATTCATAAAAACATCTGTGTTTTTGTAACGGAAAATATTTGTTTTTTTTTTCTTTAAGATGTTGAAGATTAATAAAGTCATAAGCAAAACACACTGAGTAAATTATTTCTACGAAGAAAGATTGAAAACTATTTTTAAAATGATAATTTAAATTTGTTATATTTGAAAATATCCTACTAAAAATGTCGCCATTACATTAGAGCTTCAGAACAGAATATAGCTTTATTTGAATAACTGAACTTAAATATGAAAGCCATCAACAATATAATCGCTCATTTATAAAGATCACCAAAGACCATATTGGAAATGTATGACAGAACACATTTAAAAATGATTTTTACGGCGTAAAATATAGTTATCTCCATTAAGTATGAACCACTATGTTGGGTAAGATTTAAAACACATGCTGTATTAATTATGTTATATACGAATAAAGTATTGCTGCAGACATTTGAATTTGAATTTGAACATAGATCGCCAGTGATCAAACACAGGCGATACCATTAATGAATTAAGTAGACCATGTGACCATAGAGGAAACGAATATATAGGAAGTTGAGTGACGTCTAGATTGATTTACATTTCTAGTCTATCCTCTATAATATTCGCATCGCTATTTCTACTCTACCCTCTATTACTATATGGACCGCTATTCTCTACTCTATTCACTATACTATTTCTCTATTCGGCTCACTATACGGATTACTGTTCGAATGAGTATTAGCGAGCAAGTACTATTAGTGCGAGTGTTATTCAAAGGCGTCTGCCACCAGTATTGTTTAACGGCGTTACTATAGTTGTTTTATTGCGATTACAAAGTCTCTACTACAACGAGTATTACGAAAGTGACGACGAGTATTCGTTGACATCTCAAAAGTGGTAACGAGTGTTTGTTGACATCCCAAAACTTTTCTATAAATACTTGTATAGTAAATGTTCTGATGAACTTTCCGCATTGGTGCATAGACGTTATGAATTTAAGCGCAGGACTAATTTAACAGCAAGTTCTCATCAAATTACAAAGCCATATTTATATGATGAGAAATTTGTACGTCTGATGTGAAGGCAGTGTTAGACGACCAGATTTATTCATGAAACTTTTAGCTTTTAGGGCTTTAGTTATAATATGTAAATATTTTAGAAGTTTTAATAAAATAATAAGTTACTCTGTTTCGTTTAATTATATATTTATTTACCTTTAATTTTTTTTATTTTAAAGGAAAAGCAGATATTTTTCATTAAAAACAACAGATATCTTTGTTTTAATGCTTCTTCAGATAGCCAAAAAAACTTACCTAGATTCCCCGTCTCACAGAGCATAATCATTGTGATATCTCTATCACGGCTCGGGAAGTTTCCAAACATATGAAAGACCTTGACTCTACGAAGGTTACTGGTTCGAATTAAATTCCTGTCGTTGTTCATAAGAACAGAGCAATCATCAATCCTGGCAAAGTTATTTTATAGCTGACTGAAGGAGAAATGTTTCCCAATCTATGGCAGGTATCGGCTGTATGCCTTATTTTCAAGAGTTCTCACCCCCACAAAATATCGTCCATCTTAGCATCATCAGCAAAGTTTCTATGTCTGTTACCAACAGCAAAATTATTGCTAAACACAACAAAAGCAGTAACAATCGCTCAGGCGACAAACAGTATGGATTTCGCTACTTTATGTCCACTGCTTATGTCTTAACTTTAATTACACATAAACCTAGAAACATAGAATCAGTGAGGCACTCGATAATAAATTCAACGCGAGATCGATCGATCGACCGAGATAGCTCAAAGGTCTTTAACAAGGTGTAATATAGGTGTTGCTAAACAAACTCTCTATCTATGGCATTTTTGGCAGGGTCTTATCCATTCCGATTATAAAAGTCGTTGTTATTGGCCAGTCTTCGGAATCCAATTAGATCAATGCAGACTTTTTCTAAGGCTTTCTACTCAGTATTACCCTCTTTCGGCTTTACATTAAGAAGATTTTCAAATTATTAGCAAATATTTATGCAGACGATAACAACAGTTTATCGGTACACTCTCCAAAATCTAGATGACCAGAGGATGGTAGCTGATCTCTCCTCTGTCCAAGATCGAGCAGCTCGAGGGGAGCAAAACTGGTTTGTAGCATTCGATAACGAAAAAATCAGACGGAATTCTCTGCAGTCATGATGAGCATTACACTATCCTTGAACGCCTATTGGAACTAAAACTCGTCACAGACATCTAGCGGAAACATTCATCACTAAAGATATTGGAAAAATGATCAGTTCCTTGTACCACTGTAGAAAGTACCTAACTTTTGCTATGTTCTATCTTTTGCAAGGGTCAAGTCAGGCTAAAATGGAGAATTGCTTCCTTATATGGACGAGCTGCCGAATTCCTCACTTTCCAGCCTTGATCTGGAAATCAACAGCCCTCCCACTTTACAACAAGATCCGGATCTTCAACACCAACGTCAAGCCGGTCCTACTTTATGGCTCAGAAACCTGGCGGGTAACCAAGACCAACACCTACAGACATTTACTAACCGATGTCTCAGGAACATTCTCAATATCAAGTGGCCGGAAGTCGTCTCCAACGACCAACTGTAGTACAGGACCAGACAGCCCCAATCGAGATTGACATCAAGAAACGGAAATGAGGATGGATCAGCCACACACTCCGCAAGCCTGCTTCTAGTGTCACCAGGCAGGCCCTTGAATAGAATCCATAAGAGAAGTGAAAAGTGGGTCGACCAAAACAGACTTGGCGCAGAAGTGTTGATGCAGAGGTAAAGGAACCGGCACGACATGGGCCGAGCAGAAGAGGATCGCCCGGAACCGCATCCGTTGGATGGATGTTGTTGTGGCTCTATGTACCCCAAAGAAACGAGAGGTATAAGAAAAGAAGCCTTGATAGAGTTCAAAAGCGTTTCCGCAGACTTGTGGGTGATGGATTATTTTCCATCGTACAACCCCTTGCTTTTCGCTCGCTGTTTCCCTGGCAAATGTTCAGACGTGCTACATACACGGCCATGCTGAGCACACAGAGTTCACTCATCCCCATTCCTTTCGTATTCCATTGGTAAGGAGGAAGTTCTACTCAGACAGTTTCTTCCCCTGAACTGTTATTTTTTGAAACAGACTCCCGAGAGAATGCTTTCCTGATCACTACGATCTTAACCTCTTCCAGTCTAGAGTCAACAGTTATCTAGTCTCTCATAATATGCATGTCATGCTTCCTTCTCTTACGTACTAATAACAACCTCATTCAGTAATCCTCTAGCTTGAGTGAGTGGCTCTTGGGTTTTATATTGGATGAAATGAAAGATAATCAATGCATAAAACGAAATATAAAATGTATTCAGAATATTTTTGTTAAAATTCGGTTTAGCAAAATAGCACACGAAATTCCCACTCGATTTGATATATTTTGCCAGAATATGGATATTTGAGCTTTTTATATCAAATGTAAAATGATAAAAAATAGAGAAAAATGGAAAAATTAAAATCAGGCCAATTATAAAGGGTGCTGTTCGTTGAAAAGTTGCTATTTTGTCACGTTAGGCTTCTGCGTATTTCGTTAGAAGGGCCTCGCGTGAATGTGACTACATTAGCTGAAATTTACGATATTAAAGGTGTATGGGAAGAGGAGAAGGTATAAGGGATAGTATAGAAGAAAGAGAAGGTGGGATAGGATGAGGTAGAGGAAGAGGAGAAGAAAGGGGAGGAGTGGGAGGAATAGCGATA